AATCTAGTTCACAGTGAAAATAGTTTTGTTGTTGGTTGTTTTTGCTTTAGTTTAATGCAGGGGTAGGCAAAATGTAGCCCGCCAGGCCATTCTATCCAGCCCACAGGGCCCCTAAAAAGTTTGGGAATTTAGTATTTCTCTGCCCCTAGCTGCCTATCATGCAGCCCTTGATGGCTTGCCAAAACTCAGTAAGTGGCCCTCAGCCTGAAATAATTGCCCGCCCCTGGTTTAATCCTCTATTAGATATTGTGTGCTTTTTCAAGTCAACAAAGGAGAGGTGGTGGATGAAAGTTTGGTTTTTGTTTGCTTTTTTTTTTTAATAAAGCTTAGTAATACAAGGGTGCTAGTCACTTGATGTGAAATGTGCAGAAGACAGGTTCTTGCCTGAAAGAGCTTGCAAAAAGGTGAGGGACACAGAGATGCATTTCAAGAGGAAGTAGAGAAGACTAAATAAGTTAGAAAACACACAGGTAGAAAGAAAACACACAAGGGGTCACTGGGAGAGAGAAGAGAGGCAGCAGATACGATTTGTTCCTGAAAAGAAAGAAATGGAGCAAAGCCTGGGAAGAAAAGAAAAACAAACAACAAAACAGAGATGGCAAAGTTAGGTCTAAATATCATTATCATCATGACAAAAGTTATTAATGGCAATTAAAAATAACAAATAAGCATCACAAAACCAATTCCTCTGGAAATGGCCAGGTTTTGATTTATACCAGGGGAGCAAGACTAACAGGAGAGGAGTTCATGAGATTCCCAAAGGGCATGTGGGGTTTCGAGCCGTGCCAAGGGCTGGATTCAAGATGTAGACAGGCACAACTGGGAAAGTGGTAGAGAAGGTCTGAAGCTGGGAGGGTTAAGGCCATAGCCCAAAAAGGGGCAAGAAGCCCAAGAAGGTAAAAACCAGGGCCAGACACCTGAATCCCAAGATGGGCGAGGAACCTCAGAAAGCAAGAACTACGGCCAGGGGCCCGAGAGGGGTAAAACCAGAGTCCGAAGGGCCCCAGTGAGGGTGAAGAGGCCTGAGGTGACCTGGCATTAGTTTGGGGCAAAGTACCCCACCCAAGTGATGAACAGTAACATCTGCAAGGCATGGGTGTAGCTGTAGGGGAAGCTGGAGACCATGGAATTATCCCTTAAGGCAACTTACAGGACAGAGGGCCCCAACTAGCACCTGAGGGCAAGGCAGGGATCAGCAGGGTTTGGGTAGAGCCAACAGATGGGTAGTAGACACAGGCTCACTTTGGGACCCTGGGGGCAGTCTCGCTTTCTCCCAATCAAATACTATCAGCAAGGCATGGCAAGCAAGGGGGGAAAAAAGTGAGGGTACCTGGAGAGCCAGAACCAGACAGAAATCACAGAGCCACCAGGGGCATCACAGTCACTCTGGGGCTTGATCTTGCTACAAGAAGCTACTGAGGAAAGAGCAGCTTTTACAAGCACAACTTTGTTTTCCCAGCTGCAACTCCTAGTAGTGAAAAGCAGCTTTACAGCAAACTTTGCCTTAATAAGAAACTTAATACTTCACTTGGATTTGCTGTACTTTCTAACTGAGTCAACTGTTATATGCTCATGCCCCATGGGGACAATTGTCCTGGAAGCACACAATACTTCAATACCTTCAAATGCGAAATGTCTACAACAGAAGTAAAATACTTAAGAAAATATTTCTATTGAAAAGCTGAGGCAGGAAGGAACAAAACATCAAACACTAAGAAAACTTAAAAGCATCTCTAACATCAGTCCAAAGAGCCTGTAACAGTATATTTGCATGAAATAAGTTGGTTTCTAGTATATTGGTAAGCCAACTAAAATAAAACCCAAATGAACTGAAACTGGAATAGGCCTTGCACAGGAGCCCCATGCAAAAAAAAATAAAATAATAATAATCAATCAATCAAACTACAGCTATAAAAACAGGCTCTCCAACATCCTGGACAGGTGCACAGATGTGAAATGGGAACTGTTCTATCATTATAAAGCTCTGCATTTCTATAGTTCCTTTCATCTGAAGGACTCAAAGCACTTCAGCAATGTATGGAGATTTAATATATTGAAGTATGACATGCATTTTACTGATGTCAGAGTTATTCACAAGTCAAAGACTAAATTGGAAAATCCTAAATCCCCAACCCCTGTTCAGGCTCCTGACTGTGGCTATTGTTTTCTAGCTTCTAAATGTACTCCAGCCCATTTTACAATCCTCTGGTGGGAACTTAGTGAGTCTTATTTTACCATTTAACCTTTAAACAACATTTGTCAATCTTTTTGGGGTAAACTTTAACCCAATTCACAACAGCTTTAAAAAACCCAAAACAAACACATTCTTGAGTGGCTGCTCTGTTGTAAAATTCACGCGAAAGAAGAGACAAATTTGAATAGCAGTTATTATTAAGGGAACATTTCTGAGGTTCAGGCACAAAAATAAAAGCTTTGAAGAAACTTAATTTGCCAAATATTTGCCATATGAAAAGCTGATTTCTTTTAGTCTTTGCTGAAATACATTCCCTCGCATCAATACCGTACTAGATGTAGATGTCTGTTAGTGACTCAGTCACAAACTCCATGGCATGCTTTATAAACACTTTTAAGCAGTAGCTAAAAGAACAGAAAATACAGTTGATAAAATTTATTTTATAGTAGAAAGACTAAGAGGCTGATCTGGCTATCTGTCAGAATCTTCTCCAATTAGCACTGGAGGAAACCCCAGTAGTCTTACTATTCTGATTTATGCTTTCATAGCTGGGGTTTCCCCATCAACTATGTAAAAATGCTCTTCCTCCTTTCTCCTCTTCATTATCTGAAAACAAAAAGTCCAAATTAGCAAGATCCCTCACTTGTTCTTCTCCTGCTATGACTTCGTCATCTTAACTTCTGTGCTATGAGTATGTCTAAATTCAAGTTTCTGTCCAAACTCCACCCACTTGCCAAAGTCTGACCTTCAATGACTTCCCTTTTCAGTCTCACTACATTTCAACTACCACACCCTCCTAAAACATCTTAGGATCCTTCCTCTCTGCACATGCAATCCCAGAAAGTGTCCTCAGCCTCGCACTGCACCATCTCTAAGCAAAGTCATGCTTATTTACAGCTGTCACTTACTTTACTCTGATTCTTCTAATCCTGCTTCCATCCCCTCCACTAACTTACATCCTTATTCAAGTCACTGAAGACTGCTTCCTTTCTAAATTGAAGGGCAAAGTCCAAGTCTTTTTCATAGTGCTTCACCTTATGCTGACATCTTGCAAACTTCCAACAAATTACTTTCCCTGGAAACCTTGGGATGTGACTGTTCTTTCCTAATACTTCCAGTCATGACAGCTCCTTCAGGTTTTCCCTGGGATTGCTACATCACCTTCCTTTTTCCTTCCATTATCCTTTGTTTATGCATATTCACTTGTGCTGATCAGAAATGGTTAGAGACCCTGGCAAGCACCCCCATGACTCCTGTCCATACTGACCATGTCATCACTAGACAGAATTCTCTTCAATCCTGCCTCCATCCTTCCTGAGGCTCAATAGGGGTGGGGAGCATACTTTTTCACATCACTAACTTTTCTACGAGTCTGAACTCAAATGCTTACACTTCCAACTTGAATTCTAGTTTTGGTTCAGCTGATTCAGCATTAAGCAACAAACTCAAAAGAATGTAAAGATGCAACATATTTAAATGCCCTCAACTGAGCTGTTCCCTTAGAACATAGGTTGCTTTTGAAGGACCCAACCAGGTTCTGAAAGCTGCATTAGGAGTACATATTGTACATTTTCTCTGCAGGTATAGACAGGAGCAAGTCACCAAATAGGACTGATATTTCTTCCCATCCCTAAGTATCAAATGAATGCAAAAAACTCGCACAAAACTCTGGACAATTAAGGTTAATGCTATACTGCCTTATTTCAAATGGACTCCATGCTGCCCCTGAACCCAAACTAGTGACTCGGCATCATGGGGAAGAGAAGAAAGCATGGAGGGAAGCAA